TCCCCCACTCATGCTGTCTGTCTCTCTCTCAAAAATAAACATTAAAAAAGTTTTTTAAAAAATTGAAAACAGAAATGCCATATGATCCATTAGTTCCATGACTGGGTATTTACCCAAAGAAAATGAAAACACTAATTCCTCTGTTAATTCCTATGCACCCCTATGTTTACTGCAGCATTATTTACAATAGCCAAGATATGGAAGCAACCAAAGTGTCCATCAATAGGAAAGAAGATGTGGTATATACAAACAATGGAATATTTCTCAGCCATAATAAAGAATTGAGTTCTTGCCACTTGCAACAATATGGATGGATCTAGAGGGTATAATGCTAAGTGAAATAAGTCAGAGAAAGACAAATAGCATATGATTTCACTCATATGTGGAATTTAACAAAACAAATCAACAAAATAAAAAAGAGATAAACAAAAAAACCCAAAAACCCACTCTTAAATAGAGAACAAACTGGTGGTTGCCAGAGGGGAAGTGGGTAAGGGAATTAGTGAAATAAAGGAGAGTAAGAGTACAAATTTCCAGTTTCAAAATAAATCACAGAAATGAAAAGTACAGCATAGGACATACCGTAAATAAGATAGTAATACCGTTGTTTGGTGACAGACAGACAGTGGCTGCACTTATTATGGTGAGCACTGAGTAATGTGTAGAACTGTTGAATCATTATGTGTGCACCTAAAACTAACATAACACTGTGTGTTAATTATACTTCAATAAAAACCTGAGCATATAAGATCTTAACTATAAGAGGGGACATTTGAGAGTCATCAGTGTATAGGTGATAATTAAAAATGTTGAAGTAGATGAGATCATCCAGAATGCAGAACATTAGAAGGAAAGAGAGCCACAGCTGTGCAATGTGTCAGTTAAAACAGTAGCTAGAAAGCATTTTGAGATTTGGGGTTATTTTTGTTGTTTCTTTAAGATAAGATGAAAAATTAAGCATGTGAGTTAGAAGACTGCTCTCAAAGCCTGAGAAGCTGATCTGAGTATATAATTAAAAACTGAAATGAGAGTTTGGACATTGGCATCCTCTGGGCCCAATATGGTACACAGATATTCTTTTTTTGGCCAGCAGTGTTGATAGAAGTTCCATCCTTTAGATGGAACACATGCTTTCTAGTTTGCCCCAGTCCTCATCACTCCCAGCTGGCCTGCTTCTCTCATTTACATCCCGCTTTTATCCCATGAACACATTTGGATTTGTGTCCCTTTGGCTTAATAAACAGTTATCTACTATGTAATTTTACATTTTCTAAATTTAAGGTCTTCATGGAAATTATTAAGGATGTCTGCAAATATTCCACTTTTCCTCTTCCATCCAGGAGTGTGGCAGAATTACACTTCCCATCCACCCTGAATTTAGACTTAGCCACATGTGGTAGGCAGAACAATGGCTCCCCAGAGATGTCCATGTCTTTATTCCCAGAACCTGTGAATATACTGTAACATGTGGAAAGGGAGAATTAAGGTTGCTAATCAGATGACCTTAACATAAGGAGATTATCCTGGATGATCTGGATGGGCCCAATATAAGTAAAAGGATCCTTAAATATGGTAGAGGGAGGCAGAAGAGTTAGTATCAGCTTGATGTGATGTGAGAAAGATTCAATCTGCCATTGCTGGCTTGAAAGATGGGATGGGATCATGAGCCAAGGAATGTGGGCAGCCTGTGGAAGCTTTTGGAAAAGGAAAGAACAACAACAGACCAAAAACCTAGAACCCCCATGAGAGATGCAGCCCTACTGACACCTTGATTTCAGCTAAGTGAGACCGATTTTGGTCTTCTAACCTCCAGAACTGTAAGATAATAAATTTGTGTTGTCCTAAGAGCTAAATTTGTAATAATTTGTTATAGCAGCAATAGGAAACTAATATGCCACAGAACTTAATGAAATACAAGAGTGACATTTAATTGCCAATGTGAGATACTACTGTACTCTCTGACTTGCCATTGTAAATTGTAGATGATACAGATGGGGTGTTCATCCAGCTTGAGTCTCTGAATGAGGAGCAGTGATCTAGCATGGACATGTAACATGAGTAAAAACCTTTGTTTTCAAGCCACTGAGATTTCAAGATTTGTTACTATAGCATAACCTAACCTATCCTAACTGGCACAACCCTCTTAGGAAGGAATCATACACCAAGTTGTTACTCTTACTACATAAGTGGGGATGAAGGGTGGTTGTTTCAGCTTCTGGTAAATACTGCACCCTTATTAAAAGGACCAATTGTGGGGCACCTGAGTGGCTCAGTCAGTTGAGCGTCCAACTCTTGATTTTGCCTCAGGTCATGAATTCACAGTTCATGAGTTTGAGTCCTATGTGAGCCCCATGTCGGGCTCTGTGCTTACAGAGTGGAGCCTGCTTGGGCTCCACACGAGCCCCACAGCACTTGGGATTCTCTGTCTCCCTCTCTCTCTGCCCCTCGCTCCTTAAGATAAATAAATTTTTTTTTAAAAAAAAGACCAATTGCATAATAAATGAGGTAATGAAAACTGTTGTCCTAGTAAATTACTTCACAATGAAAAGTGGGAGAGATGGGCATCTGGGTGGCTCAGTAGGTTAAGCATCTAACTTCGAATAGGTAATGCTTGAGGATGTGTCCGTGTTGGCTGAAAGCTCTCAAACTTCCCCTCCCCTCTGTAATTTCATGGTGTATATCATATGAGTACTTCTTCACAGGACAGAGATTTTGTAATGTTTCCTATGGAAATGAAAGGGAGTCCTGTCTTTGTTCTAAAATGTTGATCAAAACTTTTTTTTTGCTATTAAAGATATCAAAAGTTTCATCTTCACAATAATTTCGAGTAGATGATTAGAGTGGTGTCCAAATTTGATACAACTTCTATCAAGTTTTTTTCATAAATGAACTGGCAGGTTTCAAGGCATTTCAAGATTTTCTTGTGCAGCAACTAATTTTAAATACTCAATAACCAGTTTTTCACTAACGTCCATATTGTAGTGACAATAAGTTTTGTGTTATCTCTTTAGATATCACTATTTTGTGTCAAATCAGCAAGAAATTTGTATTTTTTTCCCAATGTATTCTCACATAATTCCTCTTAATTGCATTATCAGACAATCCAAAAGTCTATTATTTTTATTAAAAATTTCTCTTAAGAATTACTGCTTTAGTATAACCTGGAAATATTTGTTACAATTTGTCACTAAATGTCAAAATACTTTTTTCATTTATATGCTTACTTTTTAAACATCATTTTTGTTTTATATTGTTAGTTTTTTCATCTGAATTTTCCCTTGGTTCCTTTTCTTTTTTTTTTTTTTTTAAGTTTATTTATTTGAGAAACAGACAATGGGAAAGGGGCAGAGAGAGAGGGAGGGGATAGGCTCCATGCTGCCAGCCTAGAACCTCAAACGAGGCTCGAACCCACGAAACTGAGATCATGACCGGAGCTGAAAGGAAGAGTTGTACACTTAACTGACTGAGCCACCCAGGAACCCCTTGGTTCCTTTTCCTTTAAGAAAAAATAGCCTTGTTAAGGTATAAATGAGGTATAAGTTGTACACTTTTAAAGCACACAATTTGTTTTTACATATACATATATCCATGAGGCCGTTACCACAGTTGAAAGTGAACATATTCTTCACCTCCAAACATGTCCTTGTATCTCTTCAACACATATATATATATACGTTGCAAAGATTTTCTCACAGTCTTTTCACTATCTTAGCAGTGTTCTCTTAAAAGCATCGTAAGTGTTTAAACTATTTTGAAGCTCGATGTATCTATTTGTGCCTTTCTTGATTGTGTTTTTGGTGTTGTATCTAAGAAATCTTTGAATAACATCTAGGTCATAAAGATTGTCTATTTTTTTCTAAAAATTTTATGGTTTTAGGTTTTTCATGTAGGTCTGTGATCCATTTTATTTTTTATATGTGGTGTGATATATGGGTTCAAGTTAGTTTTTTTGCAAATGGATGCTAATTGTCCCAACACACCATTTGTTAAAAGGCTATCCTTTTTCCGCATTGCCTTTGTGCCCTTAAAACTTTATATATTTACAGAAAAGCTGCAAAGATAGAATGGAGGATTCCATCACCCAATTTCCCCAGTGTTAATATCTTAGTTTTGACAAATGAGCTGGAGTTATGTAAGATGTTAACATTAATATTAGTACATTACCATTAACTAAATTTAAACTTTACTTAGATCCCACTAGTTTTTCCACTTATGTCCTTCTTCTGTTCCAGGATCCAACCCAGGACACCATATTGCACTTACTTTCATGTCTCCTTATGTTACCTTGGTTTATACATAAATCAAATAAAAATGCACTAGACCAAAGCCTTATAACAGAGACAAGAAAGAACTTTTAAGTATTATTCTTAACTGCTAATTAATAGCTGTGGCTATTAATATTTAAAAGCAAAACAGAGGATTCAGAGTTCATAATGGACAGTAGCATTCTTAAGAAACATTTCATCAAAGTCATCAAAATAATTGCTCCTTTTAATCCATGAGCACCTGAGAAAATATTAAAGTGAAAAAAGCAAATTTAGCATTTATCCAAAAAGCTTTATTAAGAGTTAATTTTAAAAATGGGAGTGTTTATATAGAATTAGGTGGTTAAAATAAATTAGCAGGAATTAATAGGTAATTATTGGAGATTTTACTTCAGATATGACAACCCTGATCAAGTGCTGACTCTTGTGTACTATAGTTATGATTGAAAATCCAGGTGTAACTTTTAACTATTGAGCTGTGGCTTTATTCAACCAAGTGAAGCAAGTTCTGGATGATTTGAACCTACTATTGAATGACATTTGTGGTCAGTTGTTTAACAACACAGCTGTAATGACAGGTGTGAACAGAGTGTTCTTTAAAAACAGGAGAAAGTACATAATATGTGCTCTGTCTAGATATTTTTTTTAAATCTCATGGGAGAAAATATGGCTTCTTCATTAGAATTTGTTGACGTGGATTCAATATTTCGCAACTATTACTCATATTGTTTTCAGATACATCTCACAGAGGAAGTTTTTAAAAGATACATGCCAACTAGATGATCTGCCCATGATGAAGCTGTTCAAACTTTGCAGCATTGATTCAATACCATTTTAAGGACTTTGAAATATATTTTCAAATAGTTGAAGAGAAGCTGGAACATTATTTCTCTTCTAAAAGCCAATAAAGCTGAAATATATCATTAAATTCCTTTTACATAAGCTTACAGGAAAGTTGAAAGAATGTTGTAAAAATTGTTTTCCCTGAATCATTTGAGAATTGCTGAACTGATGTCCATCACTTTAGGCATATTCTTACAAACAAGGACATTCTCCTACATTGCCATGATCAAAATCAGAAAATTAACACTAATATGTTATTATTATCTGATTCTTAGATCCCATTCAAGTTTCACTATTTATCCCAAAAATGTCTTTTAGAGCAAAAGAATCCTTTCTTGACTTTTATGATCTTGACAGTTTTGAAATCATAGTTAATTCATTTTGAACAAATGTCCCTCAATTTTGCTTTGTCTGATTTTTCTTCATGACTAGATTCGGGTTATGCATCTTTGGCAGGAATACTATAGACATTAGGCTGTGTTCTTCTTCATGCATTCTATCAAGTAGCACATGGTATCCATTTGCCCCATTACTAATAATATTCACGTGATCATTTGATTATGGTGGTTTCTACAAGGCATCTTCAAATAAAATTAATGTTTTCCCCTTTATAATTAGTAAGTAGTTTGTGGGAGCTTTTGAAACTATGCAAATATCCCATTCTTTATCAATTTAACCTTCAATTTATTTTTTTTATCTGTATAGGCTCATTCTTCTTATTTTTACAATGTGTTAAAATCTTTTATTGTCAATTTTTTTGCAGTTTAAAAAACTGGTAAAATACATAATATAAAATTTAACTAAGTGTACAATTCAGTAGAGTTAACTATATTCACATTGTCATATAACAGATCTCTAGAATTTTTTTCCTTTTTCCTTTTTTTTTTTTTTTTTAAATGTAGGCTCCAATGCCCAATGTGGGGCTTGAACTTGCAACCCTGAGATCAAGGGTCACATGCTCTACCAACTGAGCCAGCCAGGCCCCCTTCTAGAATTTTTTCATCTTGCAAAACTGAAACTCTATACTTACTGAACAACAACTCTCCATCTATCTCTTTCAAGACCCTGGCAACCACCATTTGACTTTCTGTTTCCACAATTTTAACTGGAAATTTGGAATCATGATTGTGATTGGGGATTACTCTAGCTATCTCAAAAGAGTGGAATCATACAGTATATGTCCTTTAGTGACTGGCTTATTTCACTTAGTATAATGTCCTCATATGATATAGCATATTACAGGATTTCTTTCTTTTTAAGATCTGAATAATATTCCATTATGTATCTATACCACACTTTATTCATCTGTCGATGGACATTTGGGCTGCTTCCACCTCTTGGATATTGTGAATATTGCTGCAATAAACATGGGTGTGCAAACACTTCTTCGAAATCCTTTCAATTTTTTGGATATATACGCAGAAATATATCCAAGTGGGATATATTGGGATTGCCAGATCATATGGTATTTCTATCTTCAGTTTTTTGAGGAACTTCCATGCTGATTTTCATAGTGGTCGCAACATTTTATATTCCCACCAGCAGTGTACAAAGATTTCAATTTCTCTACATCTTCACCACCATTTGTATTTTGTATTTTTTGATAGTGACCATCCTAATGTGTATGAGGTGATATCCTATTATTACTTTGATTTGCATTTCTCTAATGATTGGTGATGTTGATCATCTCCTCATATGCTTGTTGGCCATTTGTGTATCTGCTTTGGAGAAATACCTATTCATATCCCTTGTGCATTCTTTAATAGGGTTAATTGATATTTTTGTTCTTGTGAGACTTATTTATCCTGGGTATTAATCCTTTATCAGATATATGATTTACAGTTGTCTCCCACTCTATAGGTTGCCTTTTTACTGTATTGTTTTCTTTAATGTGCCAAAGTTTTTAGGTGTGATGTGGTCCTATTAATCTATTTTTGTTTTTGTTGTCTGTGCTTTTGTTGCCATATCCAAGAAATCATTGCCAAATCCAATGCCATCAATTTTTTTCTCCTACATTTCATCTAGGAGTTTTATAGTTTTAGGCCTTACATTTAGGCCTTTAATCCATTTTGAGCTAAATTTTGTATTTGGTGGAAGAGTCCAACTTCATTCTTTTGCAGGTGAATATCTACTTTTCCCAACACCATTTGTTGGAAGAGATTATCCTTTCCCCATTGTGGTCCAGGCACCCTTGTCAAAAATCATTTGACCATATATGCGAGGAGTTACTTCTGATCCCTCCATTCTGTTTCATCGGCCTATGTGTCTGTACTATTACTTTTTTTGTTGTTGCCTAAATTGTCCCCAATTTGGCGAGGGGAGCACTCATCCAAGATGGCTTCTGGGTTGTTTTGGTGTGTCTCCATTTTTTGAGAACTTCCTTGTTTTCTGGCACAAGACATTCTGTTATTATTCACTTGGCCTGTTACAGCCTCAAAATCAGGCATTTCTCTAAGGAGAATTTCCTTTAGTGGATATGGCATTTAGAAGTCAAGACTAGATACTAGATATCTTCATTGATATTAAAGTGTCCCTGTTCCCAGTCCTCTGAATGGATAGAGGAAAAAAATACACACACAAAACTCCAATTAAAAAAAACCTTATGGTTCATTGCATTTTTCATCCTTTCTATGTTTTTACCTTTCTTCTCACACAGTGAGAAACTTGTCTTCCTTCTTCCTGTTTAATCAGTTCCCTCATATGGAACCAATCTCCCTTCTCCATTGCTATCCTCTTAGACACACAGATCTCTCCTCTTTCTGCTTGGGTTCTGCCACTCCACAACCAGGCCACATTCCTGCATGGATGGCCCCCTCACACCTGCTTAGCCTCTGACTCACCATGTTGCCTTACTCCCATACACAGATGCTCTCCGACCCTAGAAGATGTGGCAACCTGCAACAGGCATTCTTGGAAGACCTTACTCAAAATCTGACTCCCCATGTCAAGGCGCAGCCCATCATGAACCCCTTCCTCATTTGCTTTGGGCTGTAATGCTCTAAAAGGCTATTCCTCTCTGTGGACACTCTGGACTCTACCCTCCCCAACCCACCCCTCTGCACCACACACACACACCCCACCCAGGCTACTCCTTCCATATAGACACTCTACTAATTCCACTTGGGCTCCAAAGCCTCATCACCCTGCCTGGCTCTGCACCACACACTGGGCCAGCTACATGCACAGACTCCCTCTTCACCCTGCTCAGGGGAGGCCAGGTCACTCTTTTCTATTCTATGGAAGGTTTTATGTAATAGATGTTATTTCTTCCTTAAATGTTTGAAAGAATTCACCTGGTGGTTTCTTTGTGGGAATTATGGAATTCAATTTCTTTCATAGACAAAGGATTATTTGCTTTTCTTCTTATGCCCATTTTGTTAAGTTAGTTTCTCCCCTGTGGAACCTTTATTAATTTCTCCTTTATCATTCCTGATGTTGGGTAATTTTTCCTTGTCTTTCTCAATCTCTATCAATTTCATTAGGGGCTTAGCTTTTTAATTATATTTTGGAAGTACCAATTGGTGACTATGTTGATTCTCTGTTTAGTATTTTACTAATTTCCGCATTTATATCTGTAATTGCCTTCCATTTTTAAAAATTTCCTGTTGTTTTGGTATCTTATCAAGGTAGCTTAGTTAGGGAAGAGCAAACTTCTATAAATATTTTTGGTAAATACTTTTGGCTTTGTGAGCCATTGAGTATGCTGTCACTATGCTGTTAGAGAACAAACGCATCCACGAACATACATATGTGAATGACTGTAGGTCTGTTCCAATAAACTTTTATTTATAAAAACAGGCAGGGGGCAGGATCTGACCTCTGCACCATATGTTGCTGATCTCTGGCTTAGATCATTTGATTCCTTATAGGCCTGTTTCCATTACCTGTCATTTCTTTTTTTGTCCATATCTTGTCTTCTAGTAGGTAAATCACATTATTTTTTTTTTAATGATCACATCTTTGTTTTTTTTTTTAATGTTTTATTTATTTCTAGGAGAGAGAGAGAGAGAGAGAGAGAGCGTGAGCAGGGGAGGGTCAGAGAGAGAGGGAGTCACAGACTGAAACAGGCTCCAGGCTCTGAGCTGGCAGTCAGCACAGAGCCCGATGCGGGGCTCTAACCCACGAACCGCGAGATCATGACCTAAGCGAAAGTCGGACGCTTAACCGACTAAGCCACCCAGGCGCCCCAAATCACGTTATTTTTCATTGAGTGCCAGAACTGCACCTGAAGAAGTGTAATCTTCCTCCAGATAACTACTCTTGTTTCTACCAGGTAGGCAGACTATCACTTGCAGTACCTTTAATCCAAACAGGGATTGAGAAAATGTGAAGCCAGATGAGCCCTTTGGGGTTCCAAATGTAAACCTGAGGAGTATACTTTTTCCCGGCAGCCCTCAACTCTAATTTGTGCCTCTTCAGCCCTGTGCATGTGTTAAAAATTGTGTTTAGCAACTAGACCTCTTGGCCTCTACTTTCAGAATTGAAATTTTAGAATACTTTTCAGAATCTCAAATGCCGGACTCCTATTTCCTTTCCTAGATTTTAACCCTGCAATTCTTCACTCATGTTTGGTTTTGATGCTTTTAAACAGATACATAATTTCTCCAGCTGTTTGAATTGTTTTCAGTGAGAAAGTAAGCCTCATTTATTCTGCCATTGCTGGAAACAGAACCCTCTTTGTACTAACCCAGTACACAGCGTGCCTTTTCAATGCAGAGATTTGAGTCTTCAGTTCAGAAAATTGTGTTCATTTTTTAGAAGTTCCATCATGAATATTAGGTTTTCCTTTTTCTTTTTTTGCCTGCCTTTCTCCTATTTTTGGAATTTAAAATTTATTTTTTTCAAAAAATTTTTTGATGTTTTATTTATTTCTAAGAGAGAGAGAAAGACAGCGTAAGCAGGGAAGGGTCAGAGAGAGAGGGAGACACAGAATCTGAAACAGGCTCCAGGCTCTGATCTGCTGTCAGCACAGAGCCCGACGTGGGGCTGGAACCCATGAACCATGAGATCATGACCTGAGC